GATTATTGGCCCTAGCTTGGACCTAACTTGGCAACCCCTTTTTATATATCCTAGGCTGGTCCTAACTTGGTACTAGCTAGGAGATCCAGTTATGACTTAGAAAAATTTTTAGGAAAATAAAGTGTCAAAATTGATACATGAAAAACATGTAAAAATTGATAAATATTCTCAATTAATATTTATAAAATTAATTGATAATCATATTTGTTTAAACAATTTATTGTTTGACATAAATCAGAAAATTATACAAATACTATAAAATAAAGTTAATTTATTAATTTATTAATTCAGCAATTGTTTAAACAAATAATTGTTATTTACTAACTTTTTACACAATCAACCTAGAAACTAGCAGTTTTTTCTAATTTTGCAATAAGTAAATACTCAGATTAGTTAATTGCAAAATTTTAAAAGACTACAAGTGTCTAGACGCTTTATTGTCTTAAGAATTAATAAATAACAACAATTTTTTGTTTAAACAAATGCTGAATTGTTAAAATTATAAATTATCTTCATATTTCACTACTCAAGTGTAATAATCGCGAAGTTAGATAAAAACTGCAAATTTTTAAGTAATTTGTTACAAAAGTTAATATAACAGCAAAATTTATTTATTTATTTAAACAGATACAGACTGCAATATAATTATCATTAGGAAAGTATATTTCTAATTTCGTTCGCTGATTTGAAGTTTTGTTTAAGTTGGTGCTAAACACTAAGAGATATTGCAATTCGAATGTGGGCTGACCCACCCAGGTCCAACCCAGGACCTACCTGGGCTTCCTAGTTTCATTAGTAAAAATTTCTAAGTCCAAGTCTAAAAAATTTTTTGCAACAAAAAATTAATGCTTAAAATGATTTAGAATAATGAAAAACGTGTTTTTAACATACATTTTTTTGACATTTTTTTAAAAAGTGGATCACCCGCTTAATTAATTAGGAAAAATTTCCAAGTCCAAAAGACGAATATTTTTTTTAGACCAAGAAATTAATGTTGAAAATGATTGAGAACAATGAAAAACCTGTTTTTAACGAAAATGTACAGATATTTTTTTCTTGATATAATATAAAAATATTAATTTTTGAATTTTTATATTTGGATATTATTTTATTATTATTGTTGTTGTTAAACTATTTTTTTTATTTATTATCGTGTATTAGTGTCAATAATTACTATATTGAATCATCAAAAGCAAGTCCACAAGTCACTGACAATAAAAATTTTCATCTCAACTAGTTTCATTAGCATAGTGGTTAGGGCGTTAGTCTCGTAGTCCGTAGGTCGTAGGTTCGATTCCCGCGTGCGTTCGATTTTATTTACTTCTTAGGTTTGCGTTTATTCCGATTTTTCTGCGTTGTATTCGTATAAGTATGCAATTTAATGATTATATATACTGTAAAATAATTTAATTAACAAATTTCTAATTTTTTTTATAATTTTTAATGTATATATTAGAGGAATATATATTAATCTCTACATATACTAACATTATTTATGAATTCGCTTTTGGTCATCACTTAATTGAAAAAAATAATAATTAATTAAAACTAATACTTGAGCAATTCCATGTGAAGTGATCGACGATTTTTGGACATTGTTAGCAATTTTCTTGAAACTTTTTTTCCTTGTAGCTATAAGGATAAGATATAATAAAGTGAAGGCGATTTTGAAAATTTCGAAAAAATTTTGAAAATATTCAAATTTAAAAATTTATGTACTAATTTTTTAAAATTAAGATAACTCCAGTTGTTTTCAATATTTTTTCAAAATTTTTTTTTTCAATTTCTCAGTATAACTAGTACTTTTTAAATAAATTTTTTAGAAACAAAAATTTTTAGAAATTATTAAAAATTTTTCAAAAAAAAATTTTTTTTTAATTTTTTGAAAAACACCCCCCCTCCGATTTTTTTTATTTTTTTTATAATGATAGCCAAAAGTAATAAGAAAATTTTCGTAAAAGTTTTATAATGGGATCGCGATAACTTTTCGAGAAATCAACGAAAAAGTCTATGGCGCCCCGTTGAGACTGACGCGCTCACGTACGTATGTCCAAGAAGTTGGCAACGCCATTTCATTTTTTCTCATCAAAATTTTGATAAAACTAAAAAACGAAAATTGTGCTACACTTAGAAAACGATAACAAATATTGTGCTGGAAAAAAATTAAAATATTTTTTAAAAATTAAAAAAAATTTCTTATTATACTTCAATTTTTTTGAACATTTTTCAAAAATCAAAATTTTGGAAAAATAAAATTTGTGCTGAATTGTTCTCAGCGAGGACAATAAAAAAGTCTAAGAACAATTGTACAAGTTAATAATTATTTAAAAAAATCACACTTTTTGAACCTTTTTGAAAAATCAAAAGTTTGGAAAAATAAAATTTGTCCCGAATTGTGCTCGTGAGCACAATAATACAGTCTCAAAACAATGTTTCAAAAAGTTAAAGAATTGTTTGAGAATAATCATAGAGGAAATTGGGGAATTGTGGGTCACCTCCATTATTTAACAATTTTTAAAAATTTTTGATCATCCAATTTTTTTATTTTCTTTGGTTTGTCAAAAGTAAATTTTTCATTAGCATTTTATAACTTTACAGTATTTCCCAATTACCTATAAGTCATAAACAACAACCAACTGAAAATTGCAATAAAATATTTATTTTGGGCGTTCAAGTTTTTACAAGAATTTAAAAGAATTGCCTAGTTAAAAAAATTTTTAATATATATTGTTTCTTTTTCTTTTACTTCGACTCCAAAAAAAATTTGCATGAAATTTAAATAAAAAAATAATACAAAGCTTTTTGTAAAATGAAGCATTCAGGGAATTGTGGGCTACTATTTTTTTAGAAGTATGCAGGTACATAATATTAAAATCACATATATAGCTAAAATAGTAATTTAATTAAAACAATTCTATTCATTGCAATGAATGAGATAGAGCTGTTGTAAAACTGTTGTAAAATTGTTTTTTAGACTTTTTTATTGTGCTCGCCGAGCACAATTCAGCACAAAATTTATTTTTTCAAAATTATGATTTTTGAAAAATATTCAAAAAATTTTAGACTCAAAAAATATGATTTTCTTGAATAATTATTAACTTTTTCAAAAACTCTTATACACTTTTTTTATTGTCCTCGCTGAGAACAATTCAGCACAAAATTTATTTTTTCAAAATTTTGATTTTTGGAAAAATGTTCAAAAAAATTGAAGTATAATAAGAAATTTTTTTTAATTTTTAAAAAATATTTTAATTTTTTTTCAGCACAATATTTGTTATCGTTTTCTAAGTGTAGCACAATTTTCGTTTTTTAGTTTTATCAAAATTTTGATGAGAAAAAATGAAATGGCGTTGCCAACTTCTTGGACATACGTACGTGAGCGCGTCAGTCTCAACGGGGCGCCATAGACTTTTTCGTTGATTTCTCGAAAAGTTATCGCGATCCCATTATAAAACTTTTACGAAAATTTTCTTATTACTTTTGGCTATCATTATAAAAAAAATAAAAAAAATCGGAGGGGGGGTGTTTTTCAAAAAATTAAAAAAAAAATTTTTTTTTGAAAAATTTTTAATAATTTCTAAAAATTTTTGTTTCTAAAAAATTTATTTAAAAAGTACTAGTTATACTGAGAAATTGAAAAAAAAAATTTTGAAAAAATGTTGAAAACAACTGGAGTTATCTTAATTTTAAAAAATTAGTACATAAATTTTTAAATTTGAATATTTTCAAAATTTTTTCGAAATTTTCAAAATCGCCTTCACTTTATCATATCTTATCCTTATAGCTACAAGGAAAAAAAGTTTCAAGAAAATTGCTAACAATGTCCAAAAATCGTCGATCACTTCACATGGAATTGCTCACTTATTATTAATAATTTAGGTTATTTCTTTAACAAATATTATTAACTAATTAAAATTATAATGAAATAGAAAATACTGTCTGAGATGGTCCTTTCTAGGTCCTAAAATGGACCCATAAACTGGTCCTAACTAGGCTCCCAAGTTAGGACCAGACTAGAATCGCATCACCACCCATTGTTGGTCCAACCTACACTGCCAGCCTAGGACCAAGCTATTAACAGGGCAAAATAGGTAGGACCTGGCTAGGACCAATTTTCATTTTCCACACGGGAAACAATAAATTTTCTGAATTTTTCAAAAGTTGTATAAAATGGAAAAATTTATCTTAAATGAAACTTTTAATTTAAAAATAGGAAACAAATTATAACAAAAAGAAAAATAATAATGAATTCTTAAATTGCATTTTTGCAAAAATTGTTTAAAGAAGTAGAATTTATTATTAAGAGTATATTTTTAATTTAAAAATAAGAAACGAATTTAAGAAAATATAAAACAAACTTATTTAAATTTAAAAAAATGGTATAAATGGAAATTAATTGTTTCAGAGTATATTTATCATTATAATCACAAAAAAAGAGAATCTGAAATGCAATTGTAAAAAATGGTATAAAAAATATAAAATTGATTTAGAAAGTATATTTTTAATTTAGAAACAAGAAATAAACTTTAAAATAATTTTCACATTTTTTTTTTGAAACTTTCTGAAATTGAAATTCAAAATTAATTTCTTTCTTTCTTCACTGAAAAAATTACATTCTAAATTTAAGAAAATCTACTTAAATAGGCGCCAAGAATATTACTCTTATTGTAAGAATATTTCCATTTAATTTAAGTAGGGAATATTCTTGGCGCCTTATATTTAAGTAGATTTTTCTTAAATATAGAATGTAATTTTTTCAGTGTTGAAATATTAGAATTAAAAAAGAAAATTTCGGCTAAAAAAGAATTATCTGTAATACTTTTTATGTGTATTAAAAATTCGTCTAAATGACTTTCTGTTCCATAAAAATTTTAGCAAATGAAAAATTCGATAAATTAAAATTAGATAGAGTATTGACTTATTTTATACTCTTTTAAGTTTTGTTATTCGATTCTAATACCTGAAGATATAAGTTTATTGTTAAAAATTTCACTACGCACCTGAACTTCTAAAGCATGATAAGCAAATATGAGGCCAAGCAGTATCACAGTCGACACAGAGATCAGGGTTTTCAGTGCAGTCGAATAAAATGAGGCCTGTAACATAAATTTAAATATTATGTACACAATGTATTATGGATTTGTACTATAAAAAAGAATTATGTACTAAATAGTCAAATTGTATTAAAAATAAAGAAAAATTATTTAGTAGATTTACTATTTCTATAGGGTTTTTTGAATCAAAAATATATTCTTACTTTTTATTAAAAAAATTAATGAATATAAAAAAAAGAATTAAAGACAACAAAATATACAAAAGCATATACTAGATATAGAATATGAAAATAAGAATATAAATAAATATAAGTATAGATATCAAAAAAATAAATATAATTATATATTTTTTAAAAAATATAATATAATAATACATAAAAAAATATAAAAAATGAAGTATAAAAAAAGAAACATAAGGAAATATAAAAAATATAAAATTTTATTTTATAAAGAAATAATGAAAGTAAAAAACACTGAGGAAAATTATCACAAAAAAATGTATCTTAAAACTTTTTTTGCTTCTTTTGATCACAAACATTATATAAATACCGATAAAAAGAACGAAGAGAACAACAGTGTGAAAGGGTTAAAAATAAATAAAGATAAGAGTTTTTACAATTGACACATTTTGTAGCAGGATTCTGTTATTTCAAATGACACTTTGCCCAAGCAATTGGTGACAAAAATGCAACATTAGGAAAAACCTATATGTGACCTGGACAGTGAAAAGGGACCTTCCCGTGTAGAAATTTTGCTGGGGCCCTGATCAGGGCCGGATAGGGCCGACCTATTAGGGAATGAAACGCCGCGCCCGATATGGCCCTGATCTGGAAATCCACATTTTCTTGTCGCCCCGATCTGGGCCTGATCGGGCGCGGCGTTTCATTCCTTACTATGGCCCTAGTAGGGTAATTTCTACACGGGTTATTACGTGCGAAAACAAGTTTTCGAGAAAACAGCAGTTAAAGTTTAACTTAGAAAAACCCTTGTAACTTTTTTAAATATTAATATTTTTTAATAAATTTAGGCTTATTTTCTTCACCGTGAATCACAGTATCTAAATAAATAACATACAAGTAATGAAAATTTTTTTTTAATAATTGTTTATATAAATTAATAACAAACTCCCCAAACATAGAAAAAGTAATCTAAGTTTTCTAACTTGCAACAATAAGTATAAACAAGTGACAAATGTTTGTAAGGGTTTTCGAGGCCGCTGATTACGAATATGATGCTAAATTGACAATTTGACAGTTGACAGCTGTCAACTTCTCTAAAAAGTGATCGTTTTTTGTAAAAAAGACAGTAATAAGGTTTTGAGATCGCTGATTACGAATATGATATCAAATTTGAATTTTAACTGTTGACAGTTGTCAAAGAAACTGTCAACTTTTCTAAATAATAAAAAATTATCGTCTTCGTTATTTTAATTTGTATAATAACAAAAAATCAGTTTTTTCAAATTTTTACTCTTGTTTCTTTTAACTTAAAATTTTTTTTTTAAACTTCTAATCAACTTATGATTTTTTGGTTTTCACCATCTTAAAGAGCGTTTCAAACCCTATCCGAATCAACAAAAAAGTAAAAAAAGATTTTTTGACACGTAAGGTCCCTTTTCATAGACCAGGTCACATATATAGAAACTGAAAGATGTTTTTCGTTCTTTTCTCAGTTGTTGTTCACTTTTAGTTCCACGTGTTATCAGTGTATTTGTTACTCGTTTCCTCTTTTGCACTAAAGGCAATAAGATTTTATCGCGTTAGCCTGCAGCATTTCATACAAAACTAGTGCACGTTTCAGTTTCACTAACTGTATGGACAAAGGGTATTATCATCATCAATTTTTTTATTATGATTATTCATTATGTTACCTACATATCGCTTTTGAAGAAGAATAAGACCGTGACTTTTAAATTAGGCGCAAAATGCAAAAATAAAAATAACTTGCAAAATCAATTCAAATGAGATATGATAAAAAAAGAAAGAGCAAATGACAATTCTATTTTACGTTTATGTATGTTTACACTGCAAAAAGAAGTATTTTAAAATGTTTTGGTAGACATTTTTTAGTTATTTAAAATATCTTAATTTAAGATGTTAAAAGTATCTTAATAACAATGATATGCTTTACACATTTTCAGTATTTTTTGGAAATAAAGTTTTGAGGTTAAATGCACTGTAAAAAGAAGGTATCTTATTTTAAGATATTTTTGTAGTCACTTTTAAGTTGTTTCCAAAAAGTTATCAAAAGCATCTTAAAAATGCATTAATTTCTAAGATGGAAGTTGGAAAAATAAGATGTTTTAAACGTTTCAAAAGTGACTACAATGTACTTTAAGATGCTTCTTTTTGCAGTGTGTAAATATAAATTATGTATAAAATATGTATCTTTGATTTTAGTAACTTACATTTTTGTCACATTTTATAAGTAATTTTTTCGCTAAACATCTTATTGCGCCAGAAACATGTTAATTTAAGCTACTTTAAAAAACTTGCCAAAGTAACTTACTTTTCTAAGATGAAAGAAATATTTTTATCACTATTAAAACATATAAAGCATCTTAGACACCAATAAGAGACTTTAGAAAACATCTTATTTTAAGATGTAAGATGAAAATATTGAAAATTTAAACATTGAAATAATGATCATAAAAAAATATTTTTAAAATATTAGAAATATTAAAATCTTCGTTTATATCAGTAAGTCATTATTTAAAACAATAAGAAACCTAACCTTATCTAAAAAATTTTTAAGAACCACGAAAAAATAAAAAGTAACTTTTGTTGCTGTTATTTATTACAAAAAATAAACTTTAATTTTTATATATTCAAAGTAAAACAAAGTCTGAAATGTCTGAAAATTCTGCTTAGTTTTTACTATTCCTGAATAAGTAAATTTTACCAAAGTAAATTAAAATTAATTCCCTGCAACAAATTTCCTCCTAGATGAGATCTCCAATGTCTATGTGAATTAGCATTGATTAGAATTGCCCGCAACAAAAATTAAATAAAATTAGGTATTATAAAGCATTAGAACTTCTATGATCACGACTATACTGACCTTAGAAAAAGATTTAATATTCCAACTAGGGTAAATGTGCCAATTACTGTCACTTCTAATCCAGCATCGATTTTAAAGATATTAAACATTTATATTAAGTAAAATAATAATATAAAACTAGTATTTCTAGCAATATTGGGATCTAATAAAAGTAAATGTAGGATTCCAACTCTAAAAGAAACATATTTAACTTAGAAAAACACACATTTTTAAAAAATTGTCAATGCTGGTGTTACTGTCAGTTTGTGTGAGTTACTGTCAATCAATGCCCCAATTACTGCAAATGACGTAATTACTATAAATATTTTGTCTGAAAACTGCTATTCTATTACAATTAAATTAAATTATTATAAATAAAAAGAACTTAGGAGTTTTAACACATTTTATTAAAAAAAAACTGTTATTAATGAAATTAAATTATTATATTATAACAAAAAAGAAAGGGTAAGAAATAAGAACACATTTTTTAGAAAACTCTCAAAGATTTTTTGTTTCTTTTTTTATTTATCCACTTTTTTAAAAAGAAATTCTTATTTTGCTTTCTTCTTTTTTCCAAATCTTTCATTTTTGTTCTTTTTCATTAATTTCTCGGATTCTCTTTGAAATTTTAATTTTTCCGATTTGCCTGACATAACCTCTTGTAGAGCTAATTTTACACTATCTTTAGAATATTGCATTCTACTTCTCTTTGGTTTTTTTTCTCCACCTTCTTTGGAACATTTTTTTTCTTTCGGTTACTCATTGCACTTATTTAACTACTGTTTAAAACCTATAAGCTAAAACTAAACTAAGCTAAGCAAAAATTTAATCTCACGTGAGACCCATAGCGTTGACGTTTATGTCAAGTTTGCTTGGTCATGTCACACATTTTTCGCGACTGACAGTAATTGGGGAAAAGAGAAAAATCATGTCCCAAATATTGTTTCAATAAAAAAAGGTTAAAATACTTACTTTTTTATGTTTTATTATAGATATTTTGAAAAATTATTTATTTTTAAAGCGAAGAATACTATTGCAATAAATATTTTTTCTTGAAAGACAAAAATATATATACTTTTCCACAACGCGTACATATGGCATGTCCACAAATCTCTGAAGTAAAATTAGCCATTTTTGTCACTTGCATATTTGAAATTAATATAAAAATTATAAAAATATTTTTTATATGGTTATTTTCATTGTAATTATTTAAATAACATTATAAATAAAATTAATTCTTTCATTACAAAAATTATATTCATACTAAATATTTTAAATCATCAGTTTTATTCAAACTGACAGTAGTTGGGGCATTTGCAGTAATTGGCACACTTACCCTATATCTCAGAGATTTCTTTTTGCAGATCTCCTGTTTTTATTTAAAGTCATTAATGGTTTACTTAATTGTTCAGATCTCTTAAGTTTATTTTGTTTTTTTGCAGCAAAGCATTCTCCCAGAACTGAAGTTCCATTATTTAATCAACAACTTATTAGAACTAATTACTTAGAAAATTCAGTGGTCAATAGGTTGAGTCGTGAGGCAAATCAGTTTTATGACAGAGTAAATTTTTGTGGCGTTTCGCTTAATGCGTTTGTTAGAGAACTATACGCAAGCAGATTTTCGACAAAAATAATAACAATGCGGTCAACTAGTAATGTAAGATTTTCATTGTTCAGTACATTGTACGAAAGGGCAATATAAGCCCGTTTATATAGGGGAGAGGGCCCCAAGGTGGTCAGGGCCCTAAGGTGGTCACCCTAAGAAAATTTTTGTATATTAGTTAGTATCTTCAAATGTTTTTTGTTATTGTTATTATTTGAGAAGACAAAGATTTTAGTAAAGTTTTGAGGTAAATAGTCGTATGAGTCTCTTTGTAACGTGAAAGTCGTAAAATTTCTGTTTTTAAATGATCGAGAAATTTTTTTCTCAGGGTGTTAAAATCATCGAAATTAACCATTTTAAATTAATAAAAATCGTTATAATTATCTTTATATGTCGTACA